TTGGCCGGATAATTTGAAATTTTATTTTTAATTCATGTTTTATCATTTAAATATAATTGGCAGGTTATAAATTTTCTCTAGAATTCCTATATTCCTTACTTATAGTATGTGCAAAGAAAAACCCCGATTAGGGTCGATTTTTTAAAAAACGACCAGATTAAGAATTTTACCCTCATTAATATTATGTGTAAGCCTCCATATTTTGTTAAATAAATCTTTAAACCTCTAGGCTGGCTAATATTTTTTATCAACCCCTAGCTAAAGACAAACACATTATCTGATTCAATAATTCAGATTATTACCTATATAAACTGGTATAAATGGTATGTAGCTTATATTTTAATTATAGTGGGGAACTGAAGAGTACCTCCTACCCACGGTATTCAATACACCTCTATTTCTCTTCCTATACTTATAATTTTAATTGAGTTGTTTTTATTTATTTTTTTTTAAAAATAAATCGCTGTAAGAAATAGAGGAGATATCTAAAACCATAATATACGTAGTAGCTAATTTTGACAATCTCTATTGTGGCTTAGTCAAGTTTTTAGCCTAAAAAATTGAATTAAGCTTCTAAGTTGAGTCTCATCTTAAAGATTGATTCTAATATTTTTGAATAAATATGGGTACGATGTTTTATAGTTGACTAAAGTGAGGTATTAAACAACACTAATACGTACAAATTTTTCTATTTTTCCTTCATCCAAAAAATACGACTTTTAAAATATTTTATATGTAATTTGCTAAAAAAAAAAATTTAAGAGATTTAAAAAAAATAAAAGTCCTAAAAACTTACACACTCAATAATCCTCTTAAAAAAAATTAGGAAGGGGAAAAATAGAAATTACCAAATTTTTTAAAAAAAATTTTATTATTTGAAAAAAATATGAAAATAATCATTTTTTAAAATTGCACTTTAAAAAATAAAAATTTCTCAAACTAAATTTTATTTTATTTTTTAATGGCATTTTATATATAATGTAATAGATAATGAATGTTAATGTATTTTATACTATCTTATTATTAATATTATAATAATACTTTTTTTTAAAAAAAAAATAAATGGCTACTTAGGAGGATAAATTTACCGCCAGGTTAATATTTTAAACGGCTCGATTTAGTCACGTTTTAAATCTACCGAATTAGCAAATTATTTGCCCCTTTTCAAAAATATAACTTTAGGCTAATAAAAAATTTCTCTCATTATAAAAACACCCCCCCCCCTCCTCCCCTCCCTCTTCTTCTTTAAAAAAAATGCATACAATATATCACTATATAGAAGATTTTGATAGATAAAAATATAAAATAACGTCTATAATAAATCAAAGATTTTTTAAAAAATCTGATATAGCCTAAGGCCTACACAATAAGTGGGACCTAAAGATTTCCAATAACATTTATTGGGGAAAAACCCCGCCTAATATTGTCCCACCCACCTCTTTTAGCAAAATCCTGGATGCCATAGTTAATAAATGTTCAAACCTTTCTGTAATCTATGAGCAAACTCTTTGGCTAAAATATTGGATTGGGAGCCTTTTTACAATACTACTTCCATACACCCCCTTATGCCAGTGACGAATATTACCTCCTTTACTCCTTCCTAAAACAATATAAGAAAACCCTAATTAACATATCCTTACACTCGTACTCATTGTATGCGGAGATGGAAATAATTTAATATGTTGTTGAAACTAGTGTTGTTAAATGGCTCATTTTGAACCGATTTTTAAAAACGGGTAACTCAATATTTTATTAGGAAAAATATTGTGCAAGCCTTAAGGATAGGTTTGAACATCTATTAACGAAATCTCGAGGCTTGGGCAATATTTTTCTGGCTAAAATATTGAGTTGCCCGTTTTTAAAAATCGGCTCAAATCGAGCCGTTTAACAAAGTTAGTTGAAACCCCTTCATAACTTTTCACTTTATTTTTTTTCCTACTTTTTTAAATAATTTAATATAATTTAATCATTGAATATAGATATTTTATAATATTACGAATAAATTATAATATTTATAATAAAAAAAATAATCTCTGATTTTTCTTCTTTAAATTAAATTTTTTTTTTTATAGTATGATATTAATTTTGGAAGATTCGTTCATTTTAATTTTTGTCTAAAGAGAGCCGCTCTCTACAACCCTCCTCCCCCCCACACTCCCTGTCCACATAAATTTTTATCTTAAACAAAGAAACTTTTATTTTTTTAAAAAAAAATATTATTGGCATTTTACAAAACTCCCTTAAATTTTATGCCATAGAAGCGATTACGGTTAACGAAGTTCAATTTGAACCGATTTCGCAAAAATTTTAAATCCTGTCGGGGTTTTGACTTTCAACTCTATTCGACGATAATTGGTTTTCTAATGAAGGATAGAGGTTTGACTCCATAAAAAGGAACAACACAAAAATATCGAAATTTGTTTTAATTTTCGAGAATCGAAATATTTTTTTATCCCCCCTCCCTATCTTTTTGTTAGTGATTCGTTTGGTATCAGTATATATAAAAAAAAAAATTTTTAAAAATTGGTATTAATTAGATTAAAGTTTTATTATTTTTTTATTTGAATTAATTTTTACGTTCCTCGTTTATTAATAAAATAGCTTTATCCATATATCGTTATTTATATTGTATTACAATTTTTCATAAATAATTGATTACAGAAAAATATCAATAACGTGATTATCCAAACATGACATTTATTTTGTTTTGGTTCCTTTTTTTTACAATGATAAAATTAAAATCATGGAAATGAATGCGTGTTTTTTTTATGAATAAATTTATCTAGTAAAATTGGGAATTTCAATTATTAGAATTTCTTTTTCTGTGATTATAACCGGGGCTAATATGATACTTTCTTTTAATAGACTTCAAATATTATTTTTTTTAATGGGATAAAATCGTATTCAGGTTATAAAAAAATCAAAGAAATTTTTTTTTAAATAAACTGCGTTTCATACCTCTCAATAGTTGTCCGAATAAGGAATACAATGTGAGATTTCTTTAGACTAAAAGAAAAGGAAATTAAATAAATACTCTGCCCTTATAAGCTTATTTTTTACCCACCCAGTGACATATTATAATACCTAAACTGACGATGCATTCGTAATAATGCATTTAAAAGCGTCGTTAAATGCAAATCAGCTGGACCCGATTTTTTGGTAACCCAGATAGTTCATAATAATGCATTTGAAAGCTTCGTTGGATGCAAATCAGCTGGATCCGCCATTTTGATAATCTATATAGTAATTATTCTCTTTAAAAACTACTATTAAGTTGATAACTTGCTTCCTTATATTATCTCGATGATCAGGCAATTCTTTAATAAAGTTTGCGTCAGGCATAAGAATAAATTGACCTCTCGTTTAAAATTTTTACTAATGATATGGATAACCAAAATGGCGTCCCCAGCTGTTTTTCATTGATGTACTCTTTTAATGAATGCATCGTCATTCTAGGTATTATTATATGTCATTGGGCTAATGTGACACTTTTTTAATAAGCTTCAAATATTATTTTTTTTAATAAAAAGAATAAGAATTTATGCCTATTATTTTATGGGAAAAAATCCTTATTCAGGTTATAAAAATTTAAGAATATTTTTTTTAAACCGCTTTTCATGATGCTCAATAGCTGTCGGAATAAGGAATGCAATGTTAGATTTCTTTAAACTAAAGGAAAATAAAATAAATACGCCCTGCCCTTATAAGCTTATTTTAATAGTTGTTATCATCCACCCAACCCAATGACATATAATAATACCTAGACTGACGATGCATTCATTATGATGCATTTGAAAGCGTCGTTGAATGCAAATCAGCTGGACCCGCCATTTTTGTAACCCATATAGTAATTACATTTTAATAATGATATAGGTAATCAAAATGGCGTCCCCAGCTGTTTTTGCTGGTGTACACTTTTAATGAATGAATGCATCGTCAGTCTAGGTATTTTATATGTCATTGCATCCACCATCTGTCAAATAATTTTAAAAGGGAGGGGTCTTCTTTCTATCCGCATGTTCTGAACAGAATGTTCTATTAAGTATTTGGAACATAATTACGATAGGGCTAGGATTGTAAATTAAGTTTACCAAATTCAATTTTTGGTTCCTGTTTTCGGATACGAAATCACTTGTCTATAACCTTTTTTAGAGTGTTGGGGAAAGGAGGGGTAAATAATTTTCTGAAAATTACTAATTATCCAGTATATTCATAAACTTTAAGAAACGATCTATTTTGATAAACGTCGATTTAAAGATTATCGGTGAACTGTTGCGACCGGAATTGGTAATAAAATCCAATCGACCTTTTTTTTTAAAGTTAAAATTAACTCCTTTTTTTCTATCTAAGTTTAAATTCATTTTTTTTTAAATGGTGTAAAAATATGAAACACGGATTTTAAAAAAAAGCAGACGATTTGAAATATTTTATTCTTTATTTTTTTAAAAAAATGGTTCTGCTTCTGGTTTCTAACGTTTTTTAATAAAAAGGGTACCGGTTACTAGATTTGACGCATTTCCGGTTTCCAGCTCGGATTAAAATATCATAAATTATCACGATCGCTGAGTAGCGTTGGCGTATATCAGGATTTTCCTCGTTTTGCCTGGTTTTGCAATTTATCTTTTTACCAACAATTTAGACAATATTTATAGGGGGGTTGTTCTTTTAAAATGAAATTTATTGATTGTTCATTTATTTTAGAAAATTATTGTTCTTAAGCTTTATACTATTTTTTAAATAATATTATAATATATATAATAATAATAACTTAACTTAACTTATTTATTTGCAGGATAATATGGGGTGAGGGGGGGGGGGGGTATCAATATTTATTTGCTTTTAACTTGATTTTTCCCACCAATTATTTCCCGAAAAGGGATTTCCAAGTTTCCCCTCGTGGTCAACCTAATATAAATAATCTTTAACCAAAAAAAATTTTAAAAATCCACAAAAAAAACACATTAAAATTATTTTATTTTAACATCCACAAAAAAAAATAGATTTTAATGTAAAAAAATTATTACACGGTTCTTTCGATAATAAATGGCTTTCCAAGCGTCATTTAAAACAATCCAACGCGTCTCGCGTTGATGGCCAACACACTCGAAAGAATCCTTTGATCTCACAAAATCACCGCCTGCCTTCTCATATATATTTCGATCTGGAGGATCTAACTTACCCCGATTCCATCGGAGATTCTGAAATATCCTTCACGCAAAATCATATTCATCACCAAACCCCAACAATAAACACTAAAATGAGTCATTTCGAAAATTCGGAATATTTTAATCCCTCGCACCCTAACCGAAATTCGCGCGTGCATTATAATTCTGTGCCGGATGAGAATCGTTTCGATTTCAACGATTATTACTACGATAGTATATTAGATTCTGAATATTCTCTCCCCACGTGTAAGATATATTGTTAAATTATTCCCTACTAACAATATTTTTTTATATGTATAAATTAGTTATCAAGAATTTTTGGGATAGTGGGTGACTATTGCGCCATTTTTTTTAAAAATATATTAACTCTAACCAGAGATCCGAACCGAATCGTTATAACGATATTAACCGTTATTTATTTATCGAAAACCTCAATCTTTATAAGATTCGTAACCCGAACCCGAAAAGGAACCTCTAAAAAAAAGTCGTCGACAGGTTCGAACCGTTTATCCTAACGGTTTTTTAATAAAGATTACTATATGTCAATCAATTTTGATTGTCAATCATTATCGGTATCCATTTTTTCATAATAAATATTTATATTATAGTCAATAATAATATCTTAGAATATGTAAATGATGCGCATTTATTATATATACAATAATTGTGGGATTAGGGATAGAACTTTAAAAATAGGCTTCGTATCAGAAAAAGTTCGAACCGGTTTTTAAGAGCCCAACCCCAACGGATATTATTTTTTAACAACCTAAACCCGAAGCCAAACGGATATTTGTTTACGGTTCGGATCCTAGAACCTAGCCCATATATCTATGGTATTTCATGTTTAAGAAAGCCGAAACTCATCCAAGTGGTAAAAATATTAGTCCAGATAGGGAAAGAGAAAAAAATGCGAATTATAAAAATTTATAGTAATGGCTTATAATAGCTACTCACTTACCAAAATTAATTTTTTTAAGTAAAAAAAATAATAATAATTGAATTATCTCACTTGTATGCTATGCTATATGTCATCAAGAATAAATATCTAATGAGATTATTATTAAAAAAATAATGCATTTAGAGTTATTATACGAAATGATACTTTTAGAGTTATACTAAATGACGTTTTAGTTAATAAATGCTCTATAAACCTCACCTCCCCCCCCCCCCTCCAAACCTATTCATTTGTTGTTTTTTTTCCGCATTTTGTAAAATTATGTTAGCCAACGCCCTACCGAAATAAAATAGCGTTTTATTCGTAAAACATACCCCCTTGATAAGGTTGTGACAAGTTGCGAAGCAAAATTATTTCGCAAGAAAACCCATTTTCGATAGGTTAATATATATATCGCGAATAAAAAATCGCGCGATTTTAATTGCTCACTGGGACATGGCCTTATACTTACTATTTTCCGCTTGCTTTGCCGACATAGGATGGTGTATCTTTATGTCCAGTCCAGGATCATGTAACCCCTCTCCAAAAAAACATATGAGAATTCACAAAAACAATAAACCTTGATAATTAATTAATCTGTTTCTTCTTCTTTTCATCTTCACTAGTTTAACATACATTGAGTAATTTCATCCAGAGATGCTAACGCTCATTTATTATTTATTCTGCAAAAATCAATTTTTCGTACATGTTAAGTTGGAAACTGTTTTAAATACAATAATTTCAATTTACTACTTAGTTAATTCTAATTCGAAGAATGTGTTAAATTAATGCTCTTTTAAAATCCATTCTCTTATCCTAGTGAACAAAAAACATTATACTGCTCACAGCTGATCTCACCGTTAAGACCCGTACGACCAACGCGCGAGCAAAACTGATTAAATTTAGGAGCATTTTTTAAAATGAAAATTCACATTATTAGCCGAATTATTTTGCTTGTTCATTATAAAGCATCTACTATATATAATATTCCCAAAGATGGACCAATCATAATACGACCGCTTACGAATGTGACAGCGAGCGATCAAGGTGTCGCGAGTTTCTTTTGCGAGGTCATCGCTCATCCTCGTCCCGTGTTCACTTGGACCGTTAGGGGCAAAAATTTGACCGGAAAAAGGTTATGAATGAATGTAAATTTTGGGATATATTTAAATTTTTTTCGAGGGCAATAGGGTTGATTAATACAAAAGATTATTTGGATGCAGGATAAGATATTTCGATTTTAGAAAATTGTATAATATATTAATTATAGGTTTCAAGTTCTGGAGATGGAGAAAGGTAGATTAGGCTCCGTGCTGCGGATCGAGCCCCTAAGCGCGGAAAAGGATAAAAATTCTTCCGTGAAGTGCGAAGTATTCAACGAGTACGGAACTGTGTCGTCCCAAGCCAATTTAGCAGTGTTACAAGGTTTATCACAGCGCCATTTTTTAAAGAAAGAAAGAAATTTAATTATTAAATATATTGGGTTATGATAGCATTTTTTAACAGTATATGTCAAAAAGACATCCGGTGGGCAGAAATTATTTCACAACTTATTTATAATTTATATATATATTTTTTTTTAAAACAGCAAAAACATTACCACCAGGTTTTCCTGCTATCATTCAGGGTCCTAAGAGAAAAGTAGTAGAATATGGCACCTCTTTTTCCATTCCTTGCAATACCATTGGCCAACCCTCGCCTCGAGTGGATTGGTTAAAAAATTACGCGCCGATAATTTTTTTAACAGATCATGCCGAAGCAACATCGTCGCAAATGGATCAATCAGGGAATTCCGAAGGTGTTTGGAGAAGGCATAAACTGCTTAATAATGGTATTCTCATTATGTATTATAATAGATTATTAAGCTTTTAATTTGCCTTTACATTTTCAATATAATTGATTAGAAAATAATAAGAAACGAAACCTTTTGTCGTCTATATACAAATCTTATTTTTTATTCTTATCCTACTTTATAGGCTGGTTACTGGTAGAAAATGCAGAATATAGCGATGAAGGGGAATATCAATGCATGGCTACAAATAAGCATGGTTCGGCTTACAGTCCAACCATAGCTAAAATATGGGTTAAAGGTGTGAAATTTTTTTTTATATTTTTTTTAAATTTTAAACTAACATCTCTAACTTTTTTGGGGAGTAGCTATCTATCCCGCTAATTGCTTTTAACCCTTCCTTAACGAATTTTTTTTAGAATGATGTATTAGGAATATTCATCCATTCATATTTTGCAAAATTTATCACCACCCGTGCACCCCCCCCAGCAAACATTTTTGGTTTCAGTTATAACCTTTTTTGATTCTTCCGATCTAAAATTCTCTTACATATTCGCCAAAAATTTATCCGGTAACCAATATCGGTTATCCGGTTTGGGGCGAATATCGGAAAATGTCGGATCCGCATCGCTCTGCTCTAGGCCCTATGGTGAATTGTTTTGATAAAGAATATAATATATCGCATTACATTAGTACCACCGCATTTTAATTTAATTTTTATAGGGAAATCAATACAAAAAAATTTATCCTGATTCATATCTTATATATATATATATATATATATATCTAAAAGAAAGAAGAATTCCCCCTTACTTTTCCATACTACCTCCCCTTACCGTCCAAATAGCAAAGGCTGTTTCCGGAGCAACTTACCCCGGTTCCACTAAAACAAGGACAAACGATTATAGAAAAAATATAACTTGCGTGGCCGTCGGATCGCCTATGCCATTAGTGAGGTGGAAAAAGATATCTCCCGTCTCTACCAAACAGCGACCCTATAACAAGCAGAACAATTTGGTATAACATAACACTAAATATTAAAGGCTCTGAATGGGCTTCCTTTAACGTTTTTTTTTCTTCTCTTTTTTTTAATGTTTTTGCTTATTTTGGTTCCCGTTTAAAATCGCTAAAATTGATAATCTCGCTTATATCTTCCTAGAAAATTTTTTTTATAGTAAATTTGAAATTAATATTAATAGATGCTAGAGAGTAAACACTAATATTTAAGTTGAGAATTTCAAAAAAATTCGCTAAAAATGGAGGAAATATCATCCATATTCCCATAGCATCTATTAATATTAATTTTCAAATTTGCTTTAGAATTTTTCTAGGAGATGTAAGAGAAATTTCCAAATTTTAAATGATTTTTGTTTTAGCTATCTAAAACCTATCCCAAAAAATGTTTGTCTTCATGTAACTTAATATTATTTTTTTTTTCTTTTAATATTATATGAGGTACAATCTATTTATTACTACCCAAAAAAAATTAAGTATTTCTTGAAATGGTATTTTATAAAAATTTCTTATTTTTTAAAATAAAATACTTGAAGAGTATCTGTTTTTTGTTTCCAAATTTTTATCGTCAGTAAGATATAGATAATTTTTGTATGATTTATTTTCGGAAAATAAAAATTTCCCGAATCGAATTTAAAAGATCTAATCAAATCTTGTTCCGATATTTACAGAACCTAATTTTAAAGGATATAAATAATAATAATTAAAACTGATTTTAACATTTTTTTTGATTTATTTCAAATTTAATGAGTACTTGAAACTTGAAAAATATTATATCACGTTTAAATATCACGTTTAAATTTAATTATATAAATAGTCGGACTGTGTTCTAGGTCGGCTTAATACTTAATAGCCAGTTATTTTACCCTCTTTTAAGTATAGGCTAAATAGCCAAAAAAAACGAGAATAAAATTACGAAAAATAGCAATACCACCAAATACTTGAAACCAAAAAATAAGGTGTTCTCGAGATCAAATACATTTTTTAGTCTATACTAAAATGCAGTTAAGTATCCGAGCGACCTAATAAACTGCTTCATAATTTAATTGCGAATAAGACCGATACGAAGCCTGCGTTCTGAATCTCTAAAGATCATACCGCGTTGGTTTGTCTGAACCAAGAAACGCCGCCCATTAATCCCTTTCTAAAATATAGCTTCCTTTTTTTTTAAAAAAAATGAAGCTTAATATGGTATGCAAATAATGGAAAACGGAGATACAATATAAATATAAAAATATTCTCTATATATTTTAATGTAAGATATTTCCGTATATTCAAATATGTTATGCAGGGATTTCCCAAATTATTTCATAATCATGTTAATGAGCTTCGAAACGACGATATCGATGACATGATCGAAGATGAGATGAATGACGAATTTGACCAGGATCGCGCGGAAGATGGTGGCGATAGGGAAATGTATCAAGAATTTTATCGGGATTTTAATCAAGCGGACACTACGTCGATTGATAGCTTTGGAAATGGGTTGGTTTTTTTTAAAAAAAACGTATATTATCCGGGCCGGGCCGAAAAAAATTTTTGAAAAAAAATCCGGGCCAGGCTGTGCAAATGGTACCTCTGTAGGTCTCTGATAAATATAAACTACTTTATACTATATACAAAACATTTCCGTTTAAATTTATGACCATCCCCTTAATTAATGATTATGTCCAATTACGCTTTAACCTTTTAGGGAGATAGCGAACAAAATACGATGCATATTTGTATTCTCCGCCGCGAATTGGCGCTAACCGTGATTGTTAGGCTAGTTAGATACTAAGTTACTATTTTTATAAATATTTCTTTTGTCCCCTTCTTTAATATTGTTTCTATCTAGAATACTATTGTTTCTATAAAATCAGTGTCTACATTTATGAGGGAGGAGGTACAGTTGCCTTCATGGGAAAATGTGGTAAAGATTCCATGAGGCTGAGGGGTAAGGGCGTTTGATCTTTGGCTTATTGTTTTCCATTTTCTCTCTCTTATTCGGACGCTATATAAAATTTTATTATTCACTTCTACTTTTTAAATCTAAAAGTTACATGGGAAAAGTTACCATTGGCAAAAACGTTCTGCAAATCGGACCTCTGGAGACAGGCGCCAATTTTACTTGCATTGCTGTTTCTAAGCTCGGTACTATACAAGCTATCACCCGAATTTTGGTCAGAGGTTTGTAGATATTGTATTGCATAATATTTTGTTTCATTTTTTTTCTTTCTCTCGTTTTTCTTTTAAAAAAAATATCAAAAATGTTTTTCTTTTCTTTCTAAATGTCACCCAATTAATATAACGATTAAACGGCTCAATTTTAAAAAATGGCTAACCTTTGGCCACAATATTTTGCGCGAAACTAGAGGTTTGGCTCATGGGTGGCAGAAGAGTTTGGACATCTATTAACAAAATCTCGAGGTTCGCGTAATATTATTTTAGCTAAAATCCGCTCGAGCGAATCTAGGAAAATAATTCCCTGGAAAACCGTTTTTTTTAAAGATATTATATATTGCAAAATTAATTAAATAGGAGAAAACATTCCCTATAAATAAATCCACAAAAATAAAAATCCCCAAATAAAATATTTAAAAATTTTGAGAAAATCAATTCCGGTAAGAATTATTATTGGGGATTTTTTTTCCGGGCAATTATTTTCCGCTTAACCAAATCGAGCCATTTAACCCTGCATTCACAGTTATTACTAATCGCGCCGGAGTATACAAACTCGCAAATTTTACACACTTAGCCGCGAATTCACGCTAACTGTGAATGAGGGGTAACCACTCCAATTAAACTTTATATTTTATAAATAATAAATTTCCCCAAATTATAAATTAATGCTCAATATTTTTTAGATTTAAAAACTTTTCGCGCTTTTCGAATCTAAAATTTCTTATATTTTTTTATTAGGCGTTCTTTGTTGTTAAAATATCAGACTTTTTAAAGTTATATTTGTAAAATCAGACCTACCTGGCGCCCCGACATTTTTAAACCTTTTAAACGTAACCAGTTCATCAATCATGATCAGCTGGGACGAAGTCACAGAGCCAAAATTATCTGATGCCCCGCACCTATCTTACGAAATACGAGTAAATTTAATATAAATATTTATCATACATGTATCTTATTTTATTTGCCATGTTGTTTAATAAGTTGTTGTGTTTTTTTTAAACATATGATTATGATTTTAATCACTAAAAATTGCATAGTAGAGCCAATGACATGTAATAATACCTAGACTGATTATATTCATATTAGTGCATTTGAAAGCGTCGTTGAATGCAAATCAGCTGGACCATTTTAATAACCCATATAGTAAATTATTCTCATGTTAAAAACTACTATTATGTTGATAACTTGCTGCCTTATTATCTCGATGATCAGGCAATTCTTTAATAAAGTTTGCGTCAGGCATAGGAATAAATTGGCCTCTAGTTTGAAATTTTTAATAATATGGGTAATCAAAATGGCGTCCCCAGTTGTTTTCATTGATGTACACTTTTAATGAAAACATCGTCAGTAAGTGGCCCCTACAAAGGGGGGGGGGGGTTCCGAAGCAACTGCTTCAGTAAATTTAAGTGAAGGTACCTTTTTTGAAATTTTTTATTTTTAAATTTTGAGTGGGGGTGGGGGGCACTTTTTAAAAAAAATTTTTTTTTTAGTTTTGCTACATCCATCCATAACCAATTGATTTCTGGTTTATGTATGTAATAATAAGACCTCTCCCCCACTTATTTATTAATTTAATATGAATTGACGGAAATTTTAGATCGATGTTTAGTAAATTAGGTTGTTATCCGAGATTTCTTGTCATAAATTATTTTTCCAATTTCAAAATATGCCTAAAAATGTTAACCAAAAATAATAAAATGTGTTAGAAGAAAATATAATATCTGACTCTTTTAATGATCATGAAATTTATTGTGCATGAATCTTCACAGGTACATATGATGGCCGATTATGGAAAGCTCACACAACAAAAATTTCATATTGCATTTTATAATACCCCAGACAGAATGTGTGGATAATAACCGTTCTGTCATAAGAATATTAATAAGATGTCTAGGTTATTTAATATCTCGTAACCAAGCCTTCTGGGGGAACAGGCTACAAGAAGGCAATATGATGGGCCTTATTAAATTCATTGCAGATTCTGAACCTGTACTGGGAGAAAAACAATAAGGGATTAAAAACGAAATCATATGCAAATCTATTAATATAATAATATATATATTCTCATTAAACCATGAAAAATATGGTTATAAAAAAAATTCAAAATGAGATTGAATTTAACAAGTGCTTTTCAATCATAGTTGATGGCACATATGATGTTTAGAAATCAGAAGCAATAGCTTTGACAGTAAGATATGTTGAAAATAGTAAGACGCCGAAGCCTGTTGAAAGACTGATTGACATATATTGTACGGGAAATACCACAGGTCTCGATATTAAGCATAGTATAATATCCAAACTTGGCTCGATGAATTTACCCCTTGAATTCCTAGTTGGGCAAAGTTATGATGGCGCCTCAAATATGAGTGGAAGAATCAATGGTGTGCAGGCCTTGATTAGAGCAGAGGCGCCAAAGGCAGCTTTTATTTGGTGTTATTGTCATTGATTAAATTTAATATTGTTCAATTATGCCAATCAATTAAAGAACTTCGAAATGTTCTAGGAATACTAGATGAGATTTATATCTATTTTAATGGTGTAAAAAGATATGAGGTACTCAAAAAATGTCAGTGTAATGATCTGAAAAAATTGCAACGATTTCTACGCATCAAGAATACAACTCGATACGGTAATAGTACCTTATTTAATTATATTTAAAATGTTATTTTATTTAGAAGCTGGCTATCGTCATATAAAGCTATTGCTATTTTTTTTCTACTTTATGATGCCTTGAGGGCAGCTTTAACAAATTTAAAGGATTCTGAAGATCCTGCCACTTCCACTATGGCTAGTGCTTAGTCTTTAGAATAGAAAAATTTGATTTTATCTTATCACTTAGTGTTTTGGATTCAATTGGCAAAAGATTGCTTGATTAATTTGAGAAGTATAATATAAATTATTGTCTTAATTATTTTTTAATTTAATAGATAATAACACTGAATTTTTGGATGTTTTTTCAAAGGTATAAGATTTTATGAAGGAGAGAAATCTACCTTTTGATTTTGAAAGTTCTAGACTTCAAAAATTACAATCTAATAAGGAGATGTATATATATACTTTCATCATTAAATATAGAAATTTTTTTTAGCTTTAAAATAGGTGTGTTTTATGCTGCACTCGATTTAATTATTATGCAGTTTAACGAAAGATTTAATGATGATTTGATGAAATTTTTACATCAAACATCATTTTTTTACGCCAAAGGGAATGGCAGAAAAATCAATTATTCGAGGATATCTGTGAATTTTACAATTTAAATTCAAGTCGAATTTTCAAAGAAATGTTGAAGTTTAGAAATATTTATAAGATGGCCAAAATGGGGAATGTAATTATTACTCATGACCTAGAGGTTGAAGAATTTAAAGATTTGTCAGATGAGAATTGTAAATTTATTTAATTAGAATATTTTTGCCAATACATTATTTAGCTTCTTCTGATGATGATGATAATTCAGGGACTTACGATTCAGATTGGAAAAACTATTCATTTATTTTACCTTATCGTCTACTTTAAAATTTTTCAGCTTTCCCTAATTTAAGAATTTTATATAAATATTTATTAACCATTCCTACAACCTCATGTACTGCCGAAAGAGTCATGAGTAAAATTAAATTAATTAATACAAGACTTCGTAGTATCATGAAAGATTCATTTCTCAATAATTTAACCATATTATCAATGGAAAAAAAATTTATTTAAACAATTAAATATTGATGAAATTATAAATTCTTTCGCTTTCTCTTTCCCATATTTATCTAAATTATTAATTTAAAAATAATATTTATAAAGTATATATTTTTTGCATTTTATTTATATTATTTATTAAAAATTGATGCAATAAAAATTATTTTTGAAATTTATGGGTGTCATAAAATAATTATTATTTTTTCGGAAAGGGGGGGGGGGTACTTTTCAGGGGAGTATTCTGCTTCATTCGCTCAGAAAGTGTAGGGGCCACTGTCGTCAGTTAAGGTATTATCATATGTCATTGAGTAGAACTTATCAAGCGCCATTTAGGGATTAGGATGAAAGAGTGCTAATAAGACCTAAATTCTATAAGTACTCTATTTAAAAAAATTTTTTATCAATCCAAGAATGAATTATTTTAAATTGGAGTTGAGACAAAATTCTGGAAGGAAGGGGGGGGGGCTATCTTAACCAAGGGAGATCTCACATCAGTCATTGGACAAACGTGAAACGAGTTGAAAAGTAAGTTAACAAAATAATAGAGAACGAATGGGGGGGGGCTTAATTTGAGGATGATAAAGGGAGAGAGAAAGGAGAAAAATGGCAACTTTTCTTTTTATCCTCCTCAAATTCTGCCGTTGTTTCTATTAACATTGAAGAATGGGCGACGATTTTTAGCATCTACAGAATAATAGCTTTTTCTGCGCAACCAGATAATCTATATATTTTCTTGGTCTTTGAGACTTGAAGCGAATATATTTTATCGAACAAAAATACTATCGATATTATGGGGAAAAAAAAACTATAAGGTTACCACCATTTCGAACCGCGACAATCCAAGCGTTCTCGAACGAGAAGAAATAGTTATGACGAAAATGAGCGAAAAACCTTTTACCCTGCTCAAATACCTGAAGCCCTCTACGCCTTACCATATTTCGGTGAGGGCTACCTCCATTATTGGACCCGGTGATTGGTCGGAACCTCTAGCGATCACTACTTTGGAAGACGGTAATTTTCGGGAGGCGGGGCGGGCGGGGTGAATATAGTTTTAATATTTTATATTTACAAATCGTGTTATATCTTGGGGATGATTTCGAGATATCATTATCAGTAAAATGCAGAACTTTGATAATTCTTGTAAGGATGGTGAGAGAAACCATAATTTCGTTTTTAATATGGAGTTAACTAGGTAAGGAAATTTTGACGAGACGCTATTAACGATAGGAATTACATTTATTTATGTTTTGTTCTTTCAGTGTAAAATTATTTAGAACACGTCTTCTAATATACTATAATATTCTCATTTTTATGCTACTAAATATGATATAAATTTAAATATTAATCAAACCTTTCCTAATTTTTAATATAATTTATTCATCAAATCCTTAAAGTTCCATCGTCTCCACCCAAAAACATTAGAGTTAGAGCTTTGAGCGATACAGAGTTCAGCGTAAAATGGGAAAAACCCGACAATTCAAATGGACTAATAAAAGTGATTTAATATTTTTTTTGGATTAAAACAATATGATTTGCATGTTTTAGTAGAAGGAAAGAAAGGAAAGGGATAAAAAAAAGTCCAATTAATCATTCAATTTTATCCTCAAAGGCTTACATCCTTTACTACACCAACATTACGAACCTCGAAAGTATTTCCCAATTACAATTAGCTTCTGACTCCGACGACCCGAAGAATTTCGAGAATATTCGACGCGTCTTTTCTCATACTAACGATCACTTGCCTTTGTCTCGATGGAAAGAGTTGGTTTTACCTAATCAAGATCAATCGAAGATGATGGTTTTTACCGTAAAAAATTTGGAACCCCTAACCCTCTACACCGTTAGGATGAGAGTCGCCAATTCGTTGGGTCGGAGCGCACCATCCGACCCCGTATCAGTTTTTACTTCTCCCGAAAGTAATGCTCTCTATATACATTATTTCATGCAACAAATGTCGTATTTGAGTTGTGGTATATTTTGTTATCTTTCATTAATTATAAGAATTGATTTTGCTTAACAAGTCTGATTGAACCGAACGCTAGACTAAGGTTGAAAAAAAAACCCCTGTTTTTTAAAGATATTGTCCTCTTTCTAAATAGGATATCTACCCGAAAATATAATAATTAGCATAAAATCTCTTCACACCTCATTAATACGTATAGGTCTATAAGCGGAGTTTTAGCCCCCACCCATACTTTGGACCGGCTGGTTTTAAAAAATAATATTTAGACGAGTGGACGAAAAAATCGGACGAAAGGATCAGTTAAACATTTTTTTAAAAATGATTGAACGGGCGTGTGAATTTTCGTTGGAAACCAGCGGGTGGTTTATAAAAATTTAAAACAAATGGCGGGCGGGCTTTGGGGTTTAAACTCGCCCATTGCAGTTAACTCCCTCTAATTTCAAAAAAAAAAATTTAACAACGTATTATCTCTTTTATTAAACCAGATATTTAATAAGTAATTTATATAACGCCGATTCCATTATTCCTTTTTTGACTAACACTAGTACCAGGTCAAATCACTAATTTCGCCGGGAAGGTACTCAATAGAACGAGCGTTATTCTTAGTTGGTCGCAGAGTTATGATTTTGAATTGTTTACATCCTATCTCTTATACGTATGGAAGGCGGAAGCGTCTAAAAATGGTCACGGTGACAATGATAGCATGCGAATCGTTATCGATAACGTAAAAAAAATATATATATGGATTTATGATGTAAAATGATTAGTTTATTTTTTATTAGGGAAATTACAATTAAGATCTTTTTATTTATTTATTTTTTTTGTAAAAAAAATCAGCCAGGTGTTTTAAATTACACGCTTATCAATCTGGTTACCGGTACCTTATATCAAGCGAGGATCGCGTTGATATCTGGACAATATATGGGGGTTCCTTCTAATACTATCACCTTAATAACTCCATCTACTGGTTTAATGCGCTTAATTTATATCTATTATTTATTTATTTTTGAAGGTGGTGGTGGTGGGGGGGGGGGGGGGGTGGATTGATGTTATTTTAATTTGACGATATAAAATATCTATCTATTCGATATCTGTAAAATAAGGATTACTCTATGACTTAGACCTATCAGGGCAGAGGTCTTTCTTCCTTGTAAAAACTTCTCCCTATAACCTAAAACCCCTGTTTCTATAAAAATTTTAGCTTGCCCCCACCCAGTTTCACGTAGGTTTGCTTGGAGGTGTCTGGTAACGCGTTATGGGATGCCAATTTTTTTAACATTTTTTTTAAAAGTATTATCTAATGATTAAGTATTTTTGGACAATTATTTTTACATTCTTAAAGTATCCCGCTACGTATATCGAGATACAATATCAAAATATTTGTGGTGTTCTCGATACATTTTTTTAGGCAACTTATCAGTTTTGAAAAAATATCTTTTTTTAACTGATTATAATTAATCATTTAATTTAATACAAATTTTTTTTATATATTTAATTCAAAAATTAAATATTAAAACCTTATTCTAAAAACATTCTTGACATCGAGTTTTATAATTTGTTTCTTACTTTGTATTAGGAGTTAGGGCCCATATCACGCTGACGTTTTTAATAATATGCGAAAATAATAGCACGTTATTGGCAGGATTGGGCAGTATCTCGCGAATATTTGTATCTTTTTTTTTTAATTTGATAAAATATCTTGTATCTAAGATAACAATTATTTAAAAGTATCTGTAACTTAATCAACTTTGTATTCAAAAAGATACAGATACTTTAAAAAAAGGTAGTGCTAATACCCTGTACCATTATATACACTAGCTGAAAATTCTCTAAATAGGAAATTTAAAAAAAAACAACAAGATTATTTTGCATATTTATGCATAATTAGCTGTATCCTTATTTGGATCCTAATATGAATGGGAAATATGTCCGTTTGGCAGGGCAGTCATGACCACTTAAAATTATCTATATTTTTTATGGGAGAGCGGTATTAATTAATCGGAGATGCACTGATATATTCATGATATCGTTTAGTATCGGTCGATATTTTAACATTTTACAGATATAATTGACCTATTTATCAGCTAAAAAGCTATCAGGTTTGGGCATCGGTTATAAGTTATGACGGTTATATCGGGTTAAGTACCGATTATAAATGTTTTATATTGGGTTGAGTACAATGACATATAATTATACCTAGACTGACGATCCATTCATTAAAGGGGTGCATCAATGAAAACAGCTGGGGACTCCATTTTGATTACCCGTATCATTATTAAAAATTTTAAACGAGAGGCCAATTTATTCCTATATCTGACGCAAACCCTATTAAAGAATTCCCTGATCTTCGAGATAATAAGTAAGCAAGTTATCAATTTAATAGTATTTTTTAACATGAGAATAAATTACCATATAGGGTTACCAATATGGCGGGTCCAGCTGATTCACATTCAACCACCATATCAAATGCATCATTATGAATGCATCGTCAGTCTAGGTATTATTATGTGTCATTGGTTGAGTATCGTTTATTAGCTGGATCGTGTGAGTCATTATTAACGTTACATCATATTCTAAATCGATTAAAATAAGAGTACTTTGATTTATACTCTTAATACCCGCAAGTAGTGTTGTTAAACGGCTCATTTTGAGCCGATTTTTAAGAACGGCTAACTCGATATTTGAGCCTGAAAAATATAGCCTAAGCCTTGAGATTTCTCTAATAGATGTCCTAACCTTGGTTCCTTCTACAAGCAAAATCCTCAGGCTTAAGTTCAATTATTCTGGGTGAAATAATGAGTTAGCCGTTTTTAAAAATCGGCTCAAAACGAGCCGTTTAACAACACTACCCACAAGAATTACTTCTCAATTTCTAATAATATATACTATATTTTTTTAAACACAATTTTGTGCTCGCTGTGGCCGAATGTCGTTGCTTGCTAAAAAAAAAAAAATATGTCAAATGTCTTCATTTTATTAAATATTTGTAATTTCGTTCCGCTCGATTCCGCATCGCTTATCGTCTCGCGCGCGTTACTACAATTGAAATAAAACCGTTCGAAATATATCGCCAAAACAAATCGGATCGGTAGAAAATAAGGATGATGATGATGTCGATTTCGCAAATATCGGCGAAATGCCTACAAGATACGAAAACAATTTTCTAAAGCTTAGCGGTCTGCCACTCAATGGAGTCAGCTTACGCGTTGTAGCGGTCATAGACGGGCGTTTTTGGGCCCATTTCAACGAGGAGGAAGATGTGAAGACTATTAAAGGGTTTATTATCCATTCTATGACTGCTCCTTCAAACGCGACAGACATTATTTATGGCAGCGAATCGCCGAAAAATATATTCGTTTCTTTGTCCGAAGCGAACACCCCCGATCCCGAGGCAAAAGGGGAACCCCGAAATGATTTTCATGTCTCTAGTAAAACTTTGAGTAGAGAAATAACGGGACTTAGACCATTCACGCTCTATAAGATTTGGATGGATGTACGAGATACAAAATACCCTTTAGGAAATGCCCGCTATAGTTCCGCACCCATATTCGTAAAGACTGCGGAAGACGGTAAATATCATATTGTTGATTAATTTTGAATTTAATTATTTTATACACGCTACGTTTTTTGACGCTTATTTTTAATAACGTGAAATTGTGTTCTGAGAAGTTGCTCGAATGGCTTATCATTGTTAATAGTAAAAAGAAAAAAATCTTTCGCTTCTTCGTGGCTAATGGCTGGTTTTTTTTTTGTGTCGTTGAATACTCCTATCTTTATTACAGATTTTCCTCGCATTCACAGTTGGCGCGAATTCGCGACAATCCTTTTCCCGCTATCTGTGAATACAGGATTTAACCCAACTCCCATATCAATATTACAAATACTCTTCTAGTAGTGAACGATTTTTGATCAAATTTTACCTTAAAAAATCTTTCAGGAATGAAATCACACATTTATTTTAAGATATGTGTGTGAAATAATTCCGACATTTTTATCTTACGTAATTTAATTTTTTTGATATTATGTAATCAAGTTTAAAAAAAAAAAAACTTTTATCGAAAATCATCCCCCCCCCCACCCCAGCTACTTTCTACATATTTTTTTTTGACTTTAAGGTATATATATACGAACTAATTAATAATACTGACCCAAAATTGACGATTTATTTATTTTAAAAAAAAGTATACATACACTTAAAATCTATTAATGTCATTGGTCTAGTAATGTTAAGAAACCTGATTTGGGCCGATTTTTAAAAACGGCACGATTAAGATTTTAGCCATAATATAATACTGCGTAAGCCTCGAGATTTGGCAAGTAGAAGATCAAACCTATCTGCCATCTGTGAGCAAAATTATCAGTCTTCTTACACAATATTATCTTGATTATAATCTTAATATGGCGCCTTTTTTAAAAATCCACCCGAATCCGGCTTTTTAACAGCCACTTGACATTTTGTTTGCTTTTTTTTACTCTTGATTCTTATTTTCGCTTTCTTTCCTTGAGAAAAGAGAGAGAAGAGAAGAGAAGAGAAGAGAAGGTATCAAGATACAATTATCCAAATTTGATTTTATTTACAAAATAATTTTACTTGGATATTTACCTTGACTGTCAATCAATTCAGTCATTAAAATGCATTCTGTAGTGTAGGGTTGAATTGAAAAAAATAGGGTCGACAGGCCATTTTAGTTTTCCGATATTTAAATTATTTTTTTATATATAGATAAATGAATCTTATATATTTATATATATATGAAGTTTTCATGAAAAAATTTTAAAGTAAAATTATTCATATCGGGAAACCAAGATGGTGTATTAACCCAGCTGATTTCTATCGTTATTTATTTGTCGTGAAATGCATATACTTACCTTATAATCTCTTTCGATCAATATTTTTGAGTAATTTACTAATAAATTTTTTTTTTATATGCAGTTAGGTTTGGACATAACCTAGAAATTAAAAATGATAGAAATCTCTTATATATTTTTTTAAAAACAAATAAACTCACAAATACCTTATAAAATTAAGAAAGAAAAAACTTACAATTTAGGACGCTTAACATATACATATATGCTGATAAGATTTCTGCCTTTTGTCGGTTAAAAACAAGAACATATGTTTTAATTCAATTTTTGATAGTGCTTTGGAGCTTCTTGCTTTTTTCTCCCTCACATTCATAACTATACCTCACTCTAATACTACAATTGGATATAGTTCCACTCTTTTTTGATAACTATACATCTGAGTTACGAGGTTTGTTAGTACCCTTGAGAAAAAAATGGCCTACATATAAATCTCGTTCGCTCACTTTGAGCAGGTCTGTGACCACGTGCTAGATAATATATATATATGTGTGTTAATAATACGATTGGTGATAAGACTAGATAATTGGGCCATAAAATATGAAAAAGGAAAAACGAGCGAATTAAAAATGTCAAAGAATGAAATTCATATATGGATTAAAAGAGATGCGATACTATAGATTATAGATTCCGTGTAAAATGTTATAGCATCGTGTCATATGCCCCCCCCCAACTCCCAAGCCCATTTACCACTTATGAATTAATTTTAAAAATGATGAATAAATAATATAAACTTATATCTATTACTATATATGTATATAATATCAGAATATGAATGGAAATAATTTTCAATTCCCCTCAGAGATAATTCATATTCTACAATATATATATATGAGAGATAATTTACCCATATGAGTTGAGTTATATTTATAATGTTGTTCGGAGAATTGTATTGTATATTATTAATATTATAAAGAGAAAAAATTTATCTTTTTATTTGTCACATGATTGCCGCTCAAAATTCATTTGTGGCGATTACTTATTATATTATCACCAACTTTTTGCTGATTGGATCGGCTAGTTCCTTTTTATTTTTAAGAATATTGGTTATCGACCAATCCGATTAATCAAAATGGCGAAAGACTCTAATGAACACGCACTATTTGTGGATGGGAGGAAAGGGGAAGTCGGTTTGCTCAGTTTTATAATGGAGTTTGACCAATTAGCCAGCTGTTCTTTTCTTTTTTAGAGGAGTTATAAATTTATGTTAAAATTATTCAAAATTAGATTTTAACCCTTTAAATAGTAAAATGTATGATCTCTCTCTTCGTGGTTTATTTTGAATTATTCCTAATTTTTTTTTTATAATTTTAATTTTATTGTATTGTTTTTCAAATTACGCATCTGCCTTTTATCATTCATTACGCATTTTTGTTCAAAAATATTTTGCGTATTTATTATAAGTAGAAAATATATAAACTAGAAAATCCCTTTTTTTTGCGCACCCTCTTTTAATCCTCGTTCATATTTAACCGCGAATTTGCACTAACTGCGAATGGGAGATTACCTAGCCATTCACAGGTAGCGCGAATTCGCGGTGAAGTATACAAAAATAGGTTCTATTTTTGAGTATTCTATTTTTTCTATAACTAATTTATAAAAGGTTTTATATAATCCCTGAAAATATTTTTTGGTTGAGTAAACTAGTGTTTGTTAAAGGGTTTTTTTTAAATAATTACTAAACCGTTACTTTTTAGCCACAACAAATGTTGGTCTAAACATTGAGATTAGGTGTCCAAACCTTTGTGTTCATCTATGACCAAAATCTTTAAAATATTGAATTATTTATAAATAATTGTTATAGTGATGGTTAGAACAGTTTAGCTTGATATTTATCTAGGATAAAACCGCTACTCGAAATATAAAATATCTTTTATCGACATTTTGAATATTTTTTGTTAAAAAAATTGGTATTTCTGTCCTGGAAGATTTTTCTCTCATAGATGGCTGGACATCTATTACCAAAATATCGAGGTTACAAATCGGCTCAAAATCGAGGCATTTAACAACATTGGGAAGAAAGAGAACAACATTAATTTCTACTTTTTTTTATTTCACGACATTCATTATTTTATCCCGGCCCGAATTTATATATTTTTCGGGACCCGACCCCGGTTTCGAGCCAACTTATAAGGCCCTAATCGGGTTCGGCTAATTTCAATTTTTAACACTTTTCTTATCTCAGCTTATGTTTTTTTTATCCCCTCTTTTATCATTACACGCATATAGTGTTGTTAAACGGCTCGAATTTTTAAAAAACGGCCAAACCAATATCTTATAGTCAAAAAAAGATATTACGCAATCCTGGAGATTTTGCTCAGAAATGGCTGAATGATTTGGACAACTTTTAACGAAATCTCGAGGCTTGGCTAGAATCTTAATTTTAAATTGGCCAACTCTAACCCCATTTAACAACATTGCACACGCAAGTCGTTGCACTGTTGTCCGCTGTGTTTAATTAAAGTCGCAAGATAAAATAAAATAGTATATAATTCTTAGCGAAGATGTTCAATATATCAAAAAACCAAATTATTTATGTATGGATGGATAAAAATAAAATACCAAAAAAATATAATTATTTTTCCTTTTTAAATGATTTACACACTTGGTTTGATTTATTTGATTAATTAAATTTTATATTTTGGAAGGATTAAAGAATCTTCTTTGCGATGAAACATCCATAATGTGACCGACCGGGTGGTTAATATTAACTGCTCATTTTAGATTTCGAAAGTGAAGGAAGTGGGGTGGTCTCAGTTTTCTTCGGTCATAATAAACCCACCACTCCCCCCTTCTCTTTTCTTGCCTTTTTTTTTTATTAAAGTTCGAAATTTGACGTATATTTTCTTTTTTTAAGGCTTTATTTTTATAAATGACTTTCTCACTCGTAAATCATGAAGGAAACACGTATATCCAATATAATAATTTATAAGGGATATATAATAAATTATTTATTTTTCTTATATAGTATTTTTTAGTACGGTTTGTTTTGTTAATGGTTAAATAGCTGACCGGATAAAATCCGTTAACATTGAGGGGTTAACTTCTTCCTAATTTGAGGCTGCTGTTTTATTTTATTTTTTAAAGAAGAGCACCGAGGTCAAAGGGATAGTTTTCTGTTTAAAAACTTGATTTATTACGATTTTTTTTAGCCGGCTAAAAAAAACTGGACTTTGGAAGGTTAGAAATATAGTATCCAACTATCGTTTTTTTGATGTTAGCAATGTCATATAATAATACCTAGACTGACGATGCATTCATTAAAAGTGTATATCAATGAAAACAACTGGGGACGCCATTTTGATTACCCAATACCGGTGTAACAATTCAGGTTCTGTTTAGATCCCTGCATGCAGGTCGCTGATATAAGTTGGTTTTGCTATACTCATTATAATAATAATTAAACTCTCTTCATTTTTTTTTAATGGAAAACATGTACATTTACGCGACCAATAAAAACAAGCAAATCATTTTATTAAGAAAGTTGTTTATTATATACAGAATAATATTAATTACCGTAACACGATATCCAAATTTATTCAATATGGATCTTGGTTATTTTTGGCGTCAGTTTTCTAATCTTTTCGAAGATTTTAAAATATCAGTGAAGCCATATGTAATCAAAAACATATTAGTTTCTTCCCCTTCTATCCCTCATCACACGGATATCTAAGAAGAAGAAATACGAGAAAAGAGCTAAAAATAA